AGAGAGAGAGAGAGAGAGAGAGAGAGAGAGAGATCCTCCATACCTTAGTTTTAACTTCATGGATGTGGAAATTGAGGCTCAAATGGAAGAAAAACCCATCTAGCTCTAGAAAAGCCAGGATTTTCTTTTTTCAAACCTATTTATTTTTATTTTATGTGTACGAATATTTTGCCTGCATGTATGTAGGTGTACCATGTGTGTACCTGGCACCTTCAGAGGCCACCAGAGGACCTGGAACTGGAGTTACAGACAGTTGTGGGCCACCGTGTGGGTGCTGGGCACTGAACCTGGTTCCTCTGCAAGAGCAGCCAGTGCTCTTGACTGCTGAGCCCAAGAAAACTCTCCAGCCCAAGAAAAGCAAACATCTTGTTTGTATCTACTCCCAATGCCCTGCCCAGTGCCTGGCTCATGGCAGATATTCAGCAACTACTGATGCCTGGCTACATGCATGCAAGAATGAATAAGGGTCATAGCTGACCTCTAACACAGGTGGACTTCACGTCCAGTGGCTGTAATACAACATTCCCAGTGCAAAAGGGAAGAGGAACCAAGGATCTGAATGGAAGGGACATAGCTATAGAAAAAAGAGACAGAAAGGGGTCAGTTTTAGTAATGGTCCAGAGTTTTGGGAGGAGCTTGAGACTCTGGGTGCAGAAGGGGTGGGATGCCTGTGGCCAGAGGCCCCTCAGTTAGCCAGCTGTGTGATCACAAGCTTGTCAGCGAGCTTCATGTTTGATTTCCTCCTCTTTAAAGTGACTCTGTGATACTACTTCTCTCCATTGAATAACCCTTAAAGAGCTGTATGAATGCTAGTTGTTTTATTATGACCGTTACGTTGGCTCATTTTGTGGAAGTATCCTTGGACATTTCCACCTGTCAGCTTCTCCTTTAACCTCCTCAAGCACCAGCCCTCCTGCAATGGAAGGCAAGCAGTGTGAAATGGAAACATCCTTGTACAATTTTAAAACATCTTTATTTACTCTTGTGTGTTAAAGAGATTTGTCCTTGCAGCAAACACTAATTTATCCTGATAACTGAAGTTTGAGCAGCAGTGTAAGAGCCATTTGCTTTATTCCCTGTTCTTGTTGCTTGGTAGGGTTGACTCTAGCAAAGAAATGAAATTTGCCTAGAGGGTGGACGTCTAGGCAGGGTTGCCCAGTGGGAAGAGCCAGGCTCGCTCTTCTAGCTTGGACTCAAAGATCTGGATTCAAGTCCCAGTTCTGCAATATCCTGACTGTGTGACTCAGAAACAAACAAACAAACAAAAACAAACAAACGTGGACGTTCTCCGTGTTGCAGTTTGTTCATCTGAAGAAAGACGAGGCAAAGGTACATAGGGCTTAAAAATCTCAATGGAGGCAGTTAAGGAAATCATACATGTGCAGATACTCCTGCAATTTTTTTTTTTACCTGTTAGGAATGTTAATTATACTACCTCCCAAAGAGTTTCCACTAAAGTTGTTGCAAATAATTCCTTGAGATGAAAGCGTCTAAGGCTACTCCAATAGCCTTACCTCCTCTCTCCTTTCCCCCATAGGCAGTTCTTCATTCGCCAGCAAACCCACCACACCAACTGGATTGGGGGGAGGATTCCCACCTCTCAGCTCACCACAGAAAGCATCCCCTCAGCCAATGGGCGGAGGGTGGCAGCAGCCAGCAGGCTACAACTGGCAACAGGCACAGCCCAAGCCACAGCCCAGCATGCCTCACTCCTCCCCTCAGAACCGACCCAACTACAATGTGAGCTTCTCAGCCATGCCTGCGGGCCAGAGCGAACGTGGGAAAGGATCAACTAATCTGGGTGAGGATGAAGGGATGAGCCTGGTATAGGGTGGTCTGTCTGTGTGATCATACTGCTGGGATTGGTATGCCAGAAGGAGACAAAACCAACAACAGTAGTTTCTGAGATAATCCTATAGTTAAGAGACATCTTGTGATCTATAACCCCTGTACTGTGCATGGAACACCTGGGCCTACCGTCAGCCTGAACATGAGCAGCATGTTGTGATGGGTGGCTCTTCGTCTTCCGTTCTCCATGCTGGAGTGAGATGGAAGGCGTTTGTCGTAGGTTTTCATGTTAACTTCTCTTGTCACTGAGTGTAGCACTTACCATATAGTAAGCATTAAATAAATGTTGATTGAATGTGAGAGCAGGGCTAGATGAATCGTAAAGCTGTTATTCTTTGGAAGAAGATATTCTTCTAAAAAGGCTGGGAACCTGTCAAAATGGTGCTGGATTTTTTTCCCTTGGACCACAATGAGAGGAGTGGTTGGTGGATTCCTGAGATTTGGGGCACCAGTGATAGTACCAGTGCATATGGCTGGAGGATGCCCTAGATTGGATTCTTGACAATGAAGTTAAACTAATATACTTTGCATAACCGAGTGTTTAAGTTTGTCAGGAGGCCAGTTTCAGTACATTTGGCATCTCTATTGTTTGCTGTTCCCGAAAGTGAGGAGCAGGGCTTTCTCCGTTTGAAATGTAGAGAAAAAGACAATTCTACTCCATAGTAGTTAACGTGTGTTGAGTGCTTACTACCTGCAGGAGCTATCCTATGCATTTTTCATGTATTATTCCAGAGACTCTTCAAATCACTGTGATAGGTGTGAGGCAGATGTGTAAAGTAATTTCTCAAGTTCTTGCAACCCATGACAGCCAGGACTTGAATCCCAGCAATTTGGCTGAAGAACTTCTGTCTGTAACTGCTATTCACACCTGACCATGACACCGGTGTTCATCTGCAGCGCTGGGTGATAGAAATGCTAGTGCTGGGGATGTGTGACATCATGTTTATTCTCTGGTTAGCAGGGGAATTCCTTGGACAATTCTGTAGAGTCATGTGGCTTCCCCTCCACTTTTGTTTTGAGTAGCTATAGGGTGAGTGTCTTCTTGGAGCACTTACATTTTGGTGTGCACATGTGAATGTGGATCTTAAAGTACAGAGATGGCGAATAACTGTTAACTAAGAAATCACCCTTGGTTGGCAACTACTGACTGCATGGACTGCTGTGGTTTTGGTTTGTTTTAATCAGACAAACACTGAGATAACCAGGCACGACTTTAAGCATTGAAAAGAACTGGCTTATTCTCATGAGAACACTCTGAGGCAAGTCATATTGTTAACACCGTCCTTGTTTTCCAGATGAGGAAACTGTGCCTAGGTATGGTCTGCAACTTCCCTGTTGTCACACTGCCAAGAAGTGGCAGAGTTGGATTTCAAATGTGAAGAGCTTGGTTCCAGAATCTTTGTTCTTGGCTGCCATGATAGGCTGCCTCTACAAATGACAGAAAGATTGTAGGTCCACAACCAGATGGGTGGGAGGCAGAGCATGATCAGCTCAACCCACCACCTGGCTGTAAACAGGGAAGTGGCAGCATGGGTGTATTTCAAGAACCCAAACCCGGGCCATTTTCCCATCAATGATTCTGGTTAGTTGTGATGGTGGTGGAATTACCAGTGTCTTCATCTAAAAAGTTATAGTGGAAATGTGATTGGACTTAATTACATGACCCAGACGCTAGTCCTGCCCTTGCCATATCCACATATTGTGATTCTGGACGGGTCTCCTAAGTCCTCTAGCCTTCACTTTCCTCATCTGCTAAATGAGAGCCTTTACTCAACTCACAGGATAATTATGAGGGCGAAGGGATGAGTGCATGGAGAAAGTACTTTGAAGACTTAGTCCCATGAGGCATTCTGTGTAAGAATCAATGTCATAATGACTTTTCAAATATCATGTTACAGAAGGGAAACAAAAAGCAGCTGACTTTGAAGACCTGCTCTCTAGTCAAGGCTTCAATGCCCACAAAGACAAAAAGGGGCCTCGAACCATAGCTGAGATGAGAAAGGAGGAAATGGCCAAGGAAATGGATCCTGAGAAATTAAAGGTGAGCCCCTGATTGGTGTGGTTATCCTATAAGACAAAGACATGTGATAAAGTCCTGTATGTCTGGTCACCTCCTGTGTTAGTTACCTTAATGGCACTAGGACTTAAGTAACTGAAGTAACTTAAGGAAGGAAAGGTTTATTCCTGCCTCATGGCCTCATGGCCTCAGTGATGTCAGTCTATTGCGGCAGGGAAGGCATGGGAGCAGAAGCATGTGTGTTGGGGGTGGCTCTTCACATGGACGCAGAGCAGGAAGCAGAGAGAGGGGTATTGCAGTGAGGGGTGGGCAGGTATAACCTTCAAAGTCCCACCCCCAGGGAGCTACTTCTACCAGCAAGGCCCCACCTCCTAAAGTTCCACAGTCTCCCCAAACCTGAACCAGTGGGAAACATCTCAAATCATAACATTTTCCAAGGGCCCTACCTCTTAACGCCATCTGTCGCCTCGGGGGTTAGAACTCAACATATAACTCTGGGGTGGGAAACAAACCATATTAACTATGGAAGGAAGGTGCTGTGTCCTGGCAACCACGGTACTGAAATGAGTCTCTGAAGCTGTGGTTAGAGGACAGCCGTGCTCTTTGACAGCAAAGTAGCTTTTGGGGAAGCTTGGACATGATGGTTAATATCTTTAATAAAGAAATTGTAGTCTATGGTCTAGTGATACAGATTTCATACATTTCCAGTCAGATGAATAATGATATTTGATTTTATAGTTCAGATGCCTTTAGATTATAAACATGTCATTAGAGTTTGATGAGAAAAATGCTCTGTTTGTATTTTCTATCTGCCTTGAGGACTTCCAACTGTATCAAAACTGTTTCAGTTCTCTGCTGATCAACAGAGAAATACTTGTGTATCCAGGAATGGACATTGCTGCCACGTCAGGCTTGAGGTTTGCACAGATTGAGGAGAGGAAAGCTGAAGAAAATGAGGTCTCTGGCCTTCGCCACAGACTCTCTCTACTTTTAAGACATAGCACTTCTGTTTTTTTTAAACCAGTTTTTGATTCTGAAGATCTATCTAGGTAAGAATCAGCTTGGAGGAAAAAAGAATGATTTTGCACTTTAAAAAAGTTTGCAACTCAGTAAATAAATCCCAGCCTCTTGTTTTATAAATAAGGAAATGAGCAGTCCTTCATAGATGGGCCTGGGGTATGGTCAGCTACCTACAGGTTAGCCTGGAGACAGGTGACTATGTTGATGAATAGTGTGAGGCTGTAGGTGAGTACCTCAAGATCAGGAGAACTGGAATGCTGTTCCCAATTGGAGAGCTCAGATTCCTTCATGGTGGAATACCAAATACAGTAAGAATAATGCTCCTGCAGAGGAGGGCCTACTCTGTCTCTGTGTTACAATAGCTCCCAAACCAGGACTTCTGTGATTTCTCCTCATTTCTTGGCAGATTTAAATGTTAACTGTGCTAACATCCTTCAAGATGTTTTTGAGTGCGGTGAAGGATCCTGCATTTTGGCTTGCTTCTCATCACCTAACATCACAGAGGCTTAGTGTTCCTTCCAAAAACTTTGTGTCCACCTCTGTTACCTTTGCTCATTAGGCAAACCTGGACAGTTTTGTATAAAGGAAAGTTGTTTTGTTTTCAAAGCTATGTTTGCCTGTTTGGTTGGTACAGGGTATTTGATTGCTTAGGAGGGCAGCCATCAGTAATGTCAACTGAACCGTTTACCTATCAGCACTCACTCACTGTTGTGTCAAATGTAGATGCTGTTTTGTGATTTCTTCAGTTTAATCACTTTTGTTTTGTCTTTTTGAGACAGGGTCTCCCTGTAGCCCCAGCTGTCCTGGAACTCACTATGTAGACCAGGCTGGCCTTGAACTCACAGAGATCAACCTGCTTCTGCCTTCTAAGTGCTGGGATTAAAGGCGTGCACCACCATGCCTGGTCCTAGTTTAATCATTCACTTTTATTCAAATCATAAAGGCTCATAATTTAAACAAATGACTAAACAGACCAGTTAATTTAATAAGCCTTTTAAGCTCTACCCTGTGCCAGATCTGTTTGGTTCCTAAGATATAGTGATAAAAACAGTATTTTTTTCTCAAACAGCTCCTCATAATGACAGGAAAAGATGAACACACAAGTATAGTAGAGTAGGCCACCTTTTTGTTTGTTTGCTTGTGCTAGGAGTCAAACCCAGGGCAAGTGTTCTACCACAGAGCTACATCCTACCTTCACTTTAGCCTACCAACGAAGAATATTTACTTAGTTGACAAAGCAAGTAAATTCAGGTGTGACCTCATGAAGTTTACGTGTTAGGGGTGTGTAATTAACTGTAGGAGGGTGAAGAGGAAGGAATTCAAACCCACAGAGATGAACTCTGGAATTCCCAAGAAGGGATTTGAAGAATGATGAAGACCAGAAAGACAAGGTGGGAGGTGGGGGTGGAAGAGCATTCTCAGTAGAAGGGGCAGTCGATGTGTACAAGTACCCCAGTGTTACTGAACATGGCAGATTTCCAGAGCTCTGACAGAACACTCTGGACTATAAAGCAGTTGACAGTCTTAATCCTTTCCACAGATTCTAGAATGGATAGAAGGCAAAGAGAGAAACATCAGAGCCCTGCTTTCCACAATGCACACAGTGCTGTGGGCTGGGGAGACCAAGTGGAAGCCGGTGGGCATGGCAGACCTGGTGACACCAGAGCAGGTGAAGAAGGTGTACAGAAGGGCTGTGCTGGTGGTGCACCCTGACAAAGTGAGTAGAACGTGCTGCGCCGTGCTCTTGTCTGGTCCTCATTTCACACTTTAAATGTGCTGACTGATTAAGCCATGTATTTACTAAGACTGTTAATATCAGGTTAATATCCCTGTGTCAATATCAGGTATTTAAACAAATAGCTATGCTTCATGAGGTTGGCAGAGAGAAACCACATATTACCAGCAGTGGGATAAGCACCTTACTTAGAGAGGTACAGCACTCACTAGTGACTTATTTGGGGGGTTTAGATGTAATCTTGACCCCCACAATAGTAAAACAAGGCTGAGACATAAAAGGAAAACTCTGTTCCTGTAGAGATGCAGTGCTGTGTGTAGTCTGGATTGCAGGAAAAGCTTTAGAGTGCTTTGGGAAAAGTTGGTGATCAATAAGAGCTTTTAAATGTTACTAAAATAAAATGTCAGTGTTGTCATAGTTTGAACAAATGACTAGAGCACATAAGGGCACACACGGTCAGGAACTTCAGCTCCCTCTTGGCTGAAATTCCATAATTCATAGCAACACCTCGGATTGAAGCATGCTATCCTTCTGCGTGTGAACTGTACCCGTCATGTATTCTGAAGTCACAGTTGCAGTGCCTTTTGGGAACGCATGTTTGAATCCCACACACTTGATTTCCATCTCTCCATACTTTGTGACTAAATAGGATAATTAATGAGAAACAGCATTATGCTTGAATTTTGATCAGTCAAAAGAGAAATGGAAGCATGGAGAAATCCACAAACCATTTTCCCTATCATGAGTCTTAAAGATCTTATTTTTTTTTAGAAATTGGAAAAGGAAAGTTTGGAAATACAGTCAGTTGTAGACAAGGCTGTCATTTAAAATGAGATGGATCTTCTGCTCGATAAGCTCTCTGTTTTCTCCTTATTGATGATTACTACCTGGTATAAGTTTCCAGGGTGGTGCATAGTAATTAAGATCACATAGATAGGCTGCAAAAAAGAAACGTATTAATGGAAAAGCCATTTTAATTAGTTACAACCCATATTATCAGTGAAATTAATATAAATGTAATTTGGATTTGTGGTATCTAATGTGTGCTTTTCTTTTTCCTATAGGCCACTGGGCAACCCTATGAACAATATGCAAAGATGATTTTCATGGAGTTAAATGATGCCTGGTCTGAATTTGAAAACCAAGGCCAAAAGCCCTTGTATTAATTTGTGAGCTTTTCTATCTCAGCTGCAGCCCTGTGCTAATGCTTAGTGTGTATCACAACTCTGAGATTTTCACAGATGAACCAAAAATTCCAGTAATGTATACCCAGTACTAAACTGTTAAGTTATTTGTGAATTAATTTTTCATGATAAGGAATGTGAATGTTTGGTTTCTTGAAGTCCACAGAACCTAGAGGAACTTCAGCAAGCTCACCTTGCAGAGTCATGACATTTTAGCCTACCCTTTGGGAAGCCTACTCAGCATTTTGCCTGGTAGGACAGAGGCTACCCAAGGTGAAGGCAAGACATCCATCTCATTGTCTGGGAATGAGATTCATGAGTGAAAGTTATGACAATTGGGTTACATAATGGTTTTTAAAGAATGGTTTTTAGGGCTGTTTTTTTGTTTTTGTTTTTTAAAGTTGTCATTTGAGCAATGACTTTAAACAAACTCCAGGAATATCGCCAACAAGCATTTTTAAAGGAAATTTACAGTCATCTTTAGCATGATACTATGTATGTCTTTTGGTCAAGAGAGCTAACAAAAACAGAAGAGGTTGGATGGTGAGAAGTGATTGTGCAATCTAGGCATTACCACTAACCTTTCCTGGATAAGCTACAAATCCAAGTACATGCTGGCTAAAGACACCAGGGGGTTCTGAGATGTCAAAATCTAGATTCCTGGCCAGATAGTGGGCTTCGGACTCCCTTTCTCTTTAGAAAACGCTGGTTGATTGAAGAAAAACTCTGCAAACCACAACTCAAGTCTATTTGAAAGCCACTTCTAATTTTTGCCATAAGACTTAGAGCTCATCCCTTTGCATTGCCAAGGAAGCGTTCTTCACTGTAGAGATGTTGTAGAGTGGTTGAGCCTTGTCATAATTTGTCGGAACCAGCAGCTAGTAGGGACCTGCTGTTCTGGTGGATGGTGGGTGGCTATGGGTGGAACATAGAAGGCCGTACTGAGCGCTGGTTAGGAGAAGGGTCTGGGGAGCAAAGAGTTAGCTGTGTGCCATCAGATCCAGTTGGATAGCTTACCAGTGCTGGCTTTGAAGAAGCAGCCCTGCTCTCAAGTGAACCTGGATCTCCTGGATTATTTCCATGGGGTTTGCTGTTGGCAAAGTAGTTGGGACCTGTGTGGAAAAAGGCAGAAATGAAGCTTTCCCAGACCTACTGGCTTTCAGCTCAGGGTTTTCGTAGCTCTTGTTTTGCAGGGTAAGCATCTGAGACTTCAGTATGTCTCCTGGTGAGCATGTGCACAACATACATATTACATATACACAGAGATATGTACATGCATAATGTGCACATACATATTCACAAAGCAGGTGGTCAGAAAGATTTCTGTACTAATTGTAAAAGGTTCATGCTCAATATCGTGAAAAAGCTTTCAAACATTGTTTTTCAGACAATCAATTTTTGTTTCTGTTTTAATATTCTTGTGACAAACTGTACCGGAAAAGCAGCATGTCAAAAACTATTTTTGGTTTTGTATAGATCTCTTTTTTTTTCAATTACAAAATTCATTATTTATTTTACCTTTTACTGATAATGTGAAACTCTCAAAAAATGTTCTCTTTTAAAATATACAGCTATAAACTGTTCACGGTAACCATAACAACCTAGGTGTTATTTATTAATGTATTATAAAACAATGTTTGACCGGTATGTGCTTGTCTTATTTAACATTGGAATGTAAGACATGTTGCTGTGACCTTTTTTTCCTCATTCACATTTGTAGATATTGTGTGAACTACAGTATACAATGACAGTAATTAAAGGGTGTTATGTGGCTGTCACGTACATTTTGAAATGCTAGAATTATATTAGCTTCGTATCATGTTTGCATACTTCGCTCCTGGTTTCACCACTGAACATTATGCCATTAGCAATGAGGAAAAAAAAACCTTCCTTAAATTTGGGGCTTTCCCCCGTCTTTTTTCCAGATACATTAAAATTCTGGACCCCTATTTATCTCAAAACTCTTAACATATGCAGACCATCAGGTCTTGCATTCCTTTTAAATATCTGGTTGTGAAAGAGCTTGTTGTTGATCAGATTCACTGTTTCATTCATATTTATTGTAATATATTTTGTTTTGTAAATATGTTAAACACAAAATGTCAATGGTCTAAAATATTTGTAATGTATATTAAAAAGGATCAAAATACTGGTAGAAGTCTAAGTTATTTTTGTTCTTGTACGAATGCAGTGACAAGGGCTCTAGCAATGACTAAATGGTTAAGAGCGAGTACTGCTTTTGCAGAGGACATGAGTTCAGTTCCCAGCACCCATGTATGGCAGGTCACAACCACTCCATCTCCAGGAGGATCCAGTGGTTTCTTCTGGCCTCCATGGGCACCTGCACTCATACACACACACACACACACACACACACACATACTGATCATGCCTGGTGAACACTATGTTTAAAAAGGAAACAGCATAGACATCTTATTCTCATTAGAATATTAAAGCATTCTCAGAAGTGTGTTTGTGGGCTGAGGCAGAGCGATTGATCTGGAGTTTGGAACTTATCATAGACACAAAGCCTTACATAGTTTCCCTTCTTGCGGACAGAAGGGACATGCACATTTCGGTGCACACACTGCACCAGCGCATTTGAGCCCCCACTGTGCTGTGTGCATCTGGAGGCTCAGGTTGGTCTTAATGCCACTGGTTGAAACTCCCCTGTGTAAGAGATGAGCACAAAGGTTGGACTGCAGAAGCAGTTAGAACAGTAATAGCTCAGTGCCCATGCTGGAAACACCAGATCAGAGATGCAGGTCAAATGAACAGGTTTTGATTGTTCTAAAAGTAAGCCATGCTGTTTGTGTATAGTGCTGTCACCCAAGTTTTCTTAGGTCCCCTGTTCCTGGCACTATGAGACAAACCATATAACACATATTTATCTGAATTTTTAATAGTTTGTATCCTGGGTAGTGGAAATAGAGTAACTTACAAAGGCGGACACCTGGCACCCCACAAAAGATGAACACTCAGTGCCCCGTTCCACTCTGTGGCTCAGCGGCCTGCTGTTTCAGATTGCTTCCGTGCCCTGCCCACAGTCTCTGTTAGCTTTTCCCATGACTTGTGGGCCCGCAGTCTCACCCAAGGTCAGTAAATGCCCCCTCTCACGCTCATGCAGGCGAGACACCTGGGCCATTTTTTCTGCACCACTGATGCCAAGATGGTGCCAATGCTCCTCCCTCCGTGGCTAACTCTCCACAGCTCCCTCTCCGTAGCTAACTCTGCACAGCCAATACTCCACAGCAGGCTCCGCCCCACACAGGACCAAGTACCCTTCTGGACACACTCCACCCCTTCTTCTGGCTATTCAAATCTTTCCACCAATCTTCCACTAAGGTCCCTGAGCCTTGGAGGGGGTGACAGATGTAGGGTGATCTCTCTTGTATCATGGTGAGATAGTGACTTCTTGGGCCTCCCCATTATTTGTCTTCAAGCCTTGGCCATTGATCTATCTCAGTGGTGTTTCTTCTACTATAAAGACAAATGGAAGGAAGTAGACACATCTAAACAAGCATGAATGTAAATACAAATGCCCAGAGGATATCCCAATAGCTGTACTATATTCATTAAACAGTATATTTGTAATGGCTTCCCCGCTAGGGCCTGTAGCCTTTCTTGACATAGGCGGTTGGCCTGGTCTCCAGCACCAGATGTGTGTTCCACCCCTAGGATTGGACCTTATCCAATTAGAAATTTGTCAGTTGTACATATGTTAGTTGAGCCATTATTGCACTTGCAGGCATTGCTTGCCAGGTCCATAGTGTGCAGCACACGGGGTCCATTGTTGAGTAGAATCATAGGGGATCCTTTCTTCCCATGTTCACATCATGGCTGTGGGGAAAAAAGGAAAATCAGTATTTAATCATTTCAGTTGGTGTTATATCATGCTTCCATTTAACTGATATACTGATCTGAGGGCCTGCTCCACTGCAGTTTTAACACCCTGGTCCATCTTGTATGTACCACCATGTAAGAGCTGAGGTTTGAGAAGAGCAGTTCATGTAGGTTAGGGAGAGGTGATACTACATATGGCTGGTAAACATTAATATTTGTTATGTCAGGACTCAGAAAATGACACTACAAACCAAAGATCTCAGAATCAAACTTTCTTTGACCTCCTGCCTTCCTGTCTCACATCCCTTAGTTCTCCCCAGGCAAGTCAGGGAGACTAGAATTCTTCCCCAAGGTTGTAGAAGCCACAGCTGTACTTCCTCAAAGCCAGACATAAAACCCCAAATCATCCTCATTTTCTTCCCCATTTTGATATAAGTTGACCATAAGAAATTCTTTCACCATCTTTGTTTGTAGGTCATAGGCTGCTAATTCAGAAAGGGTCCCACACCATATCTGGAAGGAAGGAATGCTGCACAGGGCAGCCAGGAATGTGGGCAGACCCTTCAAGAGTCCTTCTTTATTCATCCATGATTAGATCGGCTCTTTTGACGCACCATATACATGGCTGTCAGTGTTTCATCAAACCTGAGCATAAAGATGCACATGACACTCAGGTTCTTTGGGTCTCCAGTCTGCAGGCTCCTGTGTCATATAAAACTAGATCAATAAATTTGTTATGCTTTCCTGTTAACTCCCATCTTTTGGTATATTTGTGTTGACCATGGTACTTTATGATGAATCAGAAAGGGATCATCCTTTTCCTGCCCCACATTAATATAGCCAACCTTTTGTACATACCGTATGCAATGTACTCATAGATATGTAGATTAATATGAAATCGAGGAATTGGTTTGAATGCCCTCTTAAGCATAAGTGTTGCTGTTATTTCTCATTACGATTGATCCCTGCCTTCTCTGGGGCAGACCAGCTGAATTGTGTGTTTCAGGGACAGAGCTCGGCCTTCCTGTTCCTTGCTCACTATGTGAGCCTTGATTTTTACCATCTTTAAAATAGATATTGTGCTGGATAGCTTTAGTGTCAACTTGACACACCTGGGTTGAGGGAGCCTCAATTGGTGGGAATTGCCTCCATAGGACTGGCCTGTGGCTATGTCTGTGGGGCATCTTCTTGACTGTTAAGTGATCTGGGAGGGCCTAGCCCACCGTGGATGGTGCCACCCCTGGGCAGGTAGGCCTGTGTTGCATAAGAAAGCAGACTGAGCAGGGGCCAGGAGAGCAAGCCAGTAAGCCAGAGTTCCTCTATGGCCTGTGCTCCAGTTCCTGCCTCCAGATTCCTGCCCTGATATTCTACCTTGAGCTCCCTGATTTGAACTGTGACCTGGGAAATGTAAGCTGAATAAACTCTTTCCTCCCCAAGTTGGCTTTGGTCAGAGTATTTTGTCACAGCAATGAAGAAACAAACTAGAACAGATACAATAAAATCTAGTTCACAGCATTTGAAAACTGAATGCAAGGAGAGACTATTTTGATTCATTTTAAGGGTTCCACTCTAGGCATAGGCAATACGAGAAAGGCACAGATCTTCTACAGCCAAGTAACACATGGATGGCTAGTCTGGGTGAGGTTTGGGTTTAGGTGACTGTTCTTCATCAGAACAAGAAAGGGTAAGTAGAATGATTTTTTTCAGTGCAACCTCTGGCAAAGGAAAAGCAGATTTTCTCTGGCAATGGTTAAAGCCTCTGTCTAGATAACTTTCCCTTTAGAGTTTGGTGAACTGGAAAGGACAGTTGGTGTGGGCAGAGAGCAGTGTCTCAGAGTTTTTCGGACTTCAGATACTACCCTGGAGCCAATATTTTAATCTTTTTCTTCTCACCCTTTTCATTAATTCCTTGCTAAGTCCCAGGCATTTATACCATGCTGTGCTTCTGATGCCTTTTCAGTTTCTCCCATCTCCTTTCTACAGGATTAGATTCAGTCTCCAGTAAACCCTGGTCCTGGGCCTTCTGAGCCAAACTGGGTGGATGAGAATGGGAGATAATGGGACACTGAACATCACACATCTAGTTTTTTAAATTTTTTGAAATTAATAACTACATGATTAGAAGAAGCATTTCATGACAGCTTTAACATATTCAGTAACACATTGCAGAACAAGGATACATCTCTTTCAAAAGTGGCTGTAAATTTTAAAGTTCACAG